GCATGTATGCCCAGTGCGAAGGGGGGTGGGTGCATGTGTATGGTGGGGGTGCTTGAGGGACTCGCCCTATGAACTCACACATGCGTGCTCCTTCTCCCTCCCTCACTGTGCACACGTGCGCACACACTATGTGCTTTGCTCACTATATACTCACTCACCCCCTTCTTCCTTCATTCTTCTCTCTGTCTCCCCATCCCTCATTGTGTGCGCACATACACACGCGCGCACACACGTGCGCGCGCGCACACACACACACACACACACACCCCCCCCCTCCCGTTCGTGGCCCCAGGGTACCAGCACGGCCCCATGGTTCAGTGATGCAGCGGAGGGCCACGTGGTGGTGAAGCAGCTGCCTGCAGGGAAAGCAGCTGCAGACAGAAGCTTCTGGGTTGGGGGTGGGGGGCAGGACCCGGCTGGCCTTTCTCCTGACTTCTGCTGGCTTCCCCTGGGTCCTACAGCCCCTGTCTCCTGTCATTTTTACAGGCAGCCAGGAGCAGATAAATATTAATTTTCTAAACTTCTTAGGTGCCCTGTGAGCTGGATAAAATGGTCTGGTGGGATGAATCTGGCCCATGGGCCATATTTTGCCCACCCCTGTTCTAGACAGCAGCTTTGGTAGCTGATCCAGCAATGGGAGAGAAACACGTGGTCCTCCTGAGCATGAAGAGGATGTGTGCCTGGGAGTATCTGCTTGGAATGAAGAGCTTATGATCACTCTTATACTCTCTCTTGTCATGCATCCTGAAAGAGCATTTGGGAGGAAGCTGAGTGACGGTACACAGGATTCAGTGGCTGCTGCAGAGGGTTACCCTGAACTACAGCATTGCTGTAGGCAGAGCACTGGATGGGAGGTCATCCCTTAGCCCCTGTAGTACAGTGGCTGGAAGATCTGGCAGGGAAATTTTGGAAGATATACTTCCTAGCCAGATAATAGATGTGTGCAGCCGAACATACAGGCATCAGTAACACACTACAGTGATGATTCCCACGAGCACAAGAAAAATATAATGAAGACTTGTATTGCAGATGGAGGTGTGTGTACAGCTGCACTGACAGCCATTACTGCTCTTTGTAGATGTACTGAAGGGTTGATAAGAACAGTGCTAGGATGCATAGGATGGGGCTGAAGTATTTGCCTCCACTGAGGCTGTAGCTGCAATAGCCAAGCCTAACATAAATGAGCTTTCTTGTGTAAAGCAATTTGCACCAATGCAGTTAACTCCACAAAAACAAGCCAGGTGTGGAGAGATGGGCTGTAGCTATTCCCTGGCCAGATTTAATTTAGTCAGCTGTTGTTTCTTGAGAGGCCACAGGGCAAATTTGCCAGTCTGATGCCTCAGATTACTGGTGTTAAGACTGGGATAAAGTGAAAGGCAGTCTTTTCCTTCGAAAAGCTGCTCACCCTGGGTCTGTTTTCCAGGGTGGGATACTAGCTAATATTTTTTCCCTTTCTCACATGTTTATCAGTTGTCAGTGTTGCCAGAATGGTTTCCAGGGGCTTTCTTGGCGCTGGGATTTCATGCTTGTCAATCATGGGTTGTGGGCTCCAAATGTGTGGGAATTTCTCTCCCTTCACTATGCAGCGTGTTGTGAAAGACAAACCTCCAGTGCTGTAGCTAGAACCCTGCACAGGCTTAATTGAAAACCTAATGAGCTGCTAAATTGGGATTTTTCTTAAACATTTTCTTAGCAGTTGAGTGTGCATTTTCTCACTAACCCTACCTGAGTGGCCTGAGACATGATCTCATTAATTAAAAACACGCTGACTGCCTAATGTCTAACCTCTGTGCCACACATGCCTGATCTATGTTCAAAGCAGCTCTACACTTCATTCTGGTCTGCATTACTTACTTTTGTTGGTGCTGACAAAATAATGGAAAACTATGCTCTTTGAATCTGTGCACAGAATATCAGTTTTCAGACATGCATGCTCACCAAAGCCAGGCAATGTGCAATCTCCCAATTCTACATGCAGGACCAGCCACCCAAATCCTTCTTTGTTTCCAGAACATTTGATACATTTTGGTTTCTGTCCATGCTATTGTTATGTGTTGTTTTAAATGCTTTTGAGTCTTGTGGGTGTAACAGCTGCCCTTCCATTCAAGCTAAATGAGGGAGCAGTAAAATTTCCTCTCTGTTTCAGCTATTGCTTTAAAAAAAAAAAAAAAAAAAAGGAGGCCACCACCAGATGCAGACTGCCAGGCAAGGTTGAGTACAAACTATATCCTGTGGGCTGACGGGCTTCCTGGAGTCCCATCACCATCACAGAGGTGAGGACATTGATTGATGAAGCTGTGCTCTTGAGGCAAGCAGGAGAAAATACCAGAAAGCAGAGGGCACAAAAAAACTGAATGTACAGTCAGAACAAGTATGGGAAAGGTGGCTCTGAAAGAGAGAGCGAACTCCTGGGTGGAGTGCTGGCTGAGTCAGGGGCTTGGAAATGTGAGCAAAGACATTCTCTGGTTTTGTTTCAGCGGTGTGCAGGGAAACAGGACTTTGGATGTTTTTTATAAATAGGACTGCATCAAAACCCCCCCCCCGAGTCTGTCATCAATTCTCTCACTTGGACAACTATAAGACCCCCATTTTTTGCCTAACTGCACTGGGCAACCATATCTAATGCTGGCTGCACCTAATCCCCAAATGCACTGAAGTCGACAATTTTACTGGAATCAAGGGACTTGGACTAGGCCCCGTGTGCTCCACCTTTGTCACTCCTCTTTCCTTTCTTTGGCAAGAGGATTTCTCTCCGTCGCTCCTACAAGATTGCAGCTGTCCCTCTTCTTGTTGTGCCCATTTCTGACTCTCCTCCACAACCTGATTTTTGCTCCTTGCCTCTCACTTTCCCCCTTACTGTGCAAAGACTGCGAATCTGACCTACAAAGACTGCATCCCCGCACATATGTAGGGGCCTATTTAATTCATGGTTTCACGTATTTTGCAGCAACTGTGAAATCCAGGATTGACTGCGAAATCGGTGACATCAACACCAAAAAAAAAAAGCCCTCAATAGAAATAAAATGCTGGTTCCCCAAGCGGAGCCAGTGGTCCTTGCTGCCAGGAGGGGAAGGCAGTGGCTGGCGGGTGGCACAAAGGGCAGCAAACAAGATGGTGGCTGCACCCTCGTCCCTCCTCCCCCTGCTGGGGTTTCTCCACCAATCGGTGCCGAGGGTGGGGCTGCATATATGGCAGCCACTAATCAAGATGGTGGCCCCCCCCCTCTTCCTTTCACCCTGTCAGGGCCTCTCCACCAATCAGCACTGAGGGGTGGGGCTGCCACAAAGTGACTGCAGAATTAGAACGTTAGCCATGATCAACCTGCAAACCTGGGTAAGTCTCCCTGTGGTTGAGGTGGACCCCTACATGGGTGTGCTCACTCCCCCACAGTAGTCATGAGCCACAATTTAAAATGCACTCTTTCCATGCAAATTATAACTTTTTGGGTGCATAATTAAGGTAATTAGCAGAGGCGTGATTTAATTGCACGCTGCACGCTTAGCAGATAAGGGTGGCTGTCGTCAGCCGCAGGCAGTGGGTTGAACAGAGCTTTTCTTTCGCCGCCCTTGCAGGGGATGTTTGGCACAGCACTGAGAAACCTCCCTTCCCAAGCTTAACCCTGACCAACCTCCCCCTGACCTCAGGCACACGATTCTAACCGTGTCCTCGCTGTCCCCGCGCCATAAAAGACTGGTTTTGTTTCCACAACAAACATACATGAGGAGTTACCTCACCTGATCCAGTCAGAGGACTGGACGGCCAGTTGGCACATGATCAGACGGTGTCGGCTGGAGACCAGTCCCTGAAGGATAAAAAACAAGAAAGAGGTCACGCAAAGGCAAAGCTTTCTTTGTACCACATCCTTTTTCTCTCTTGATTTTTTACTGGACTCAATTCCCCTATACTGTGCCAGCATGTGTGACAGACTCCCTTCAAGCAACCTCAGGTAAGCAGCCGTACCTAATGACCACGATGACCAAACAGCCGGTGAAATATAGTCAGAGCTGCTCTTCCCTGCCCGTGACTGGCCCGGAGGTTTTTCCCAAGTCATTCTTCATCGACGAGAATGAGGCTTTTCATTTAGGGTAAAGAGAATTCCTCCCTTCCATTAAATTTTATTTTCCAGAAAGAGCTTTTAAATTCCTGAGCCAGTATTATGAACCCCAAGCGTTCTCAAATTGTGAAACAGACCTCAAACAGAGAAACTGGAAACGCAGAGGAGAGCTTGAGATTCTCATATAAATTGCAGGAAACCAGGAACCGTGGCCTGCAAAACTTAAGGTACGTTTACAAGTGTTGGCAATATTGCTGACCCCACACACATCAGCCCATCAATTGACCCACATAACCTACTCCAGGCCTCAGCTCAGCTCCGCTTAGCTCAGCTCCCAGAGAGTTTTTTTTTTTATGGCTTTGTCTGTGCTGCATGATTTCTCTCTGCATCATATGCAATCTTGGAGCCAGCCTCTGCCAGGTTCCCTGAGGTCTTCATTCAATTAACTAGGAACCCAGGGCGTAACTTTTCCTGTTGCTCACATTCAATTCCACCCTCCTTTAGCTTTCATCGACAATATCACATATGAAAGAGCAAATGTAATCAACCCACTGGCTTGCCATAGGAGTCATGTACAGGCGAGACGATTCCTCCAATTACAATGAACCGTCCAGTCTTGTGAAGGTAATCTCTGGCTCTTTCTAAAGGAAGACATAAAAGAAACAGTAGGAATCAGTATATACACTTCTCTAGCTATGGCCAAGAGCTAGCTTGCACCTTAGGCCAAACATGCTAAATTTTCATGTGTAGTTTTACATGGGCAAAGCCCTGAGTTTAGCCACATGCATAATTGCACAAAAAACTGGGCAGCCCCTTTTGCAACACTGGCTCTGAATGTTCCAAGGATGTTAAGGAGCTGATTCACATACACAGAACTTAAGTAGATTTATGATACAGTGGAAAGTGTGTGTTGTTTTTCCCCAGTGCACTGATTCACAAACAGGGTACCCTGACACCCAGGAGTGCAGTTAGATCTGGGCAGACTCAAGCTTGTTCCTGTCCATACCCACTGCCCAGCACCTCTGCAAGGAGGTAAGATCTGTAATATATAAGTTACATTTTGAAATTGGGTGCCACTCAATTCACAAAGTTATGGAGGGGTGCCTTGAGTCCACAGAAGTTGAGAATTACTGCCAGGTACTGGTACCAGCCTACTACTGCTACCAAACAATAACGTAAATCTCTTAACTCACATATCAGAGCTCTGTTATGCAGTGCTAAAAATTCATGGCTAAGTACAGACAGTCAAAAAGCCTGAGGCTGAATTGGTTCACTCTTTGCAGGTTAGTCTAAGCTGCCTAGATTGAACTGATAAGCTAGTGAATAGACATTCATTTTTGGTTCTTGAAATGTAGCCACATGCCTGCAGTGACCCAGGCCAGAAGGCAGTGGGTGCTAGAGCAGGAGCGGGCAATTATTTTGGGTGGAGGGCCGCTTACTGAGTTTTGGCAAGCCATCGAGGGCTGCATGACAGGCAGCCAGGGGCAGATAACTATTAATTTTCTAAATTTTTTAGGGGCCCCGCGGGCCGGATAGAATGGCTTGGCGGGCCACATTTTGCCCACCCCTGTGCTAGAGCATGCCTCCCTGCTCAGCTGGAGCAGACAGTTTGGGCCCAAGGCTAGTCTACTTACCCTGTAAGGGGGACTGGGAGTTAACTTGAATCTGGAGGGGATCTGGGACAGAAGTTCAGTAAACCAATTTAACCTAAATCAGTTAAGTTTGATACTATATCCAGGTTTATCTTAAACTGGTTTCAGCCATTTTGAAAGCAGTTTATGTGCACTGAACTCCTCTTGTGTTACAGATTTGAACTGGTTTCCAATCACTTATATTCGTTTATGTGTAATTTATGTCCCTAGCCCATATGTTCAGGTCAGTCCCTGCTGATGATCTTTGTGATGGGAGGGAATGTAAGAAAACAGTTTATATTCAGAATAAAATATTACCACTGTCTCTTTTAATTCACTCTGTACTGCCAGCCCAGCAGACCTTATCATGCCAATGAAGATGACACCAAATAAGGGATGTCACTGATCTGAATAGGATACTTGTTAATAGTAATCACAGCCATTACCAACCAAAGCCTTTGGTGTCCTACATGAAACGAACTTGTTGCATCTATCCCATCTTGGGACATGGAAAGGAGTCCATATACCAGAAGCCACCAATGCAGCTGGCAGCAGCAGTACAGCACCAAGGGTCAATGAATAGAACCTGAAGCCTAAGCTTTCTTCTGACTTCAAAAACTGGTCACTGCTGAAACAGGTATGGAAAGATGGTTGCGCTCCAGCCAGAGCCAGGCATGTCCTGTGAATAAATCTGGTCCCTCAGTTGTCAGGGATGTGATTCCAGGACTTTTTACAGCACACAAGTAATTTAAAAATAGAGTTGTCAAAATGGCAATGCAGGCAATGAAATGGTCTGACTCCTGGTAATGTTGCTAGGCCAAGCACAGTTAAATCTTTGCGAGTCAGGCAGAAAATGAGCCCGTAATGTTATTTCATGCCTGTTTGCATTGTATCCTCTTCGGCACTGTCTGTGCTGTCATGTTAACTGGTTGAGTGGAACCTGTTTAAAAACTGTTTCTAGGTACGTGAGAAGCAGCATGGTCTAGTAGATGGGACGCTGGACAAGGCAGGACGTAGCTCTGTCACTACTTTACTGTATGATCTCACACAAGTCATTTTACTTCTCTGTGCCTCAACTTCACCTTCTAGCCCTTTGTCTCACTGATTTCCTTTCAGGCTTTTTGGGAAGAGATGATTTCTTGCTGTGTTTTCTTGTATCCTGTTTAGAACAATGGGGCCCTGATCTCAGCTGGGATATCTCAGTACTACAGCTGTATGTATTAATGTATGTATGCGTGTATTTGTATATATACATAATATATATAATATGTTTGGCCTAGTCTAAACTGTGTTAAGAAGAATTTGTATTTTTAGACCAGCTGAAGATACAGAATGGATTGACCTTTTGGGTTTTCAAAGGAAGATGCTAATGCTATGCATAGGCCCCACTGAAGTTCTCATGGCAATCGGTACATTCATATAATGGATGAACAGTGCAGGGCAGCATAAGACACACGATCTGCATATTTAAAAAGCCTATGCATTATGTATACTCCACCCACAGTACAGGCACACAACACACTGCAGCATTGCCTCTTTCCCTATGTAAACTACTAATGGAGAAGACCTTGTGGTCAACGTGTTTGCATTGCTAACTTGCTTTTTCATTTCACTGAGGTTTAATGGAGGAGGAGGTCTGAGTTGAAACTGCGGGAGCCTCTTTCCTGCATGCTCAAGCTTAATTTCTATGTTTAAAAATAGAAATGCACCTCAGAAAAATATTCCAGGAAAAAAAAAACCCAGGAGAAAAAATAGACACCAGCTGGTCACCACTGATGCTTGAAATGTGGTTCTGTTTTGGGAAGACAGCTATTGTAACAGCCACGTAGATTTGTGCAGTTACAGCTGCTCACTTCAGTGGCAAGTTAAGATCCCAATTCTGCATCTGGATTTGCACAGATAAATCCCAAAAGCTGCGGGCTCCTTTCACTGTTGTGTGCCTTCTGCACAAAGCAAAGGTTCTCTCCCCTTGATCAAACTGCGGGATTTAGCCTGACTTGCACTGGTGCAGCAACCTTTTGTTTGGAAATGGTAAGAGACTGTTAAGGTTATAGCAATGCAGCATATAAGCACTAAGGCATCTGCACAGGCACATGGGCATTATGATAAATACATCAGTAGCTATAACCCAGAGTGAGGACAAGGCCTTACTTTGTATCATGTCTAGTCCTTCGCACTCCAGAGCCAGCACAGCTATGCCAGACGTGCTTGATGTTTTTCCATCTCATGCATCAGCACAGAATTTTTAACTAAGAGCCAGTTCTGCCCTCACAGCCATCAAACCCGTGTGCCAGCCCTCAGCATGCTTACAGCTCTGCTTACAATAGGGCCGTTGATTACAATGGAACTGTACTCAGCAAGAAATAATACTGTGCGATAGGACTGTCTGGAGGGTGACAATTCCATTTTGTGGCAACTCGGGGATGCGTTTGTTCTGCATTGGAATGAAAACAATGTCTGAAACATTTTTGTGAAAGCAAAATTGTGTCAAAAGGTCTGCAGGTGTGTGCTTGTGAGCCTGTCAGGTGGAATCGAACAGCTGGTGCTCAAGGCACTAGCCTGAGATGTTGGAGACTCAGGTTTGAGCCTCTGAGCAGAGCATGTACTGTAACCACCAGGCTCTAGCATGTCAGAATACATTTCAGCCTCAATAATGCTGTGTTGCTAGACGCTCTGCAGTAAGAATGGCATAGCTGCTGGCATATGGTGCGTAAGAATAGCTCCTCTTTGTGAGCAGTTATCTACAACCCCCTGAAGAAACTGGGGAAATTAACTTTTGGTGCTGGGAGCAACACTTTATCCCCAGAGTGGAGTCTGACAGTCTCCATGCTCTGAACTGACAATGCAGGAGCACTGAAAGCAAAAAGAAACTGGGCTAAGAGAATGTAAGGGGGAATAATTCGAAGCAACAAAGCGGAGACTGAGTACAGGCTTTTAACTCCTTGGGGCCTAGAGGGGCTGTTAGTGGTTTGGACATTTCCAATGGCATAGAAACACTAGGAGATGAAGGGTTTGTAGTGGACAAGGGGACACCTTTTGGAACATGTCAGAATATTACAGTATTCGCATGCCATTGCCAGGCAGGATGGTCTAATACAGGGCTGTCCAACTTCTGAGTAGTAAGGGAACCCCAGGGTTGCACCCCATTGACCCACACTACCCCTACTAGGGGTGGCAGTAGGAAGCTGAAGCCAGAGGAGGGAGGAGAACCCCATCCCCGAGAGACCCTGAGGGCATCAGCAGCTGGAGAGGTGAGGAAAGTCCCTGGATGGGAGCTTACAGGCTGCAGTTTAACCCCTTGTGGGCTGCATGCAGCCTGAAAGCCATGAGTTGGACAGCTAGGCTAGGGACAGACATTATACATAAACTGGCTTAAGTGATCAGAAACTGGGTTAACCCTGTAATAGAACAGACGTTCAGTGCACATAAACCAGTTTCAAAATGGCTGAAACCGGTTTGAATGTAGTAGCAGACTTAACTGATTGAGCTCAAATTGGCTTATGCAATGTCTGTCCCAGACCCCTTCCTGATTTAACTTAAGCCAGAGTCCCCCAGCATCCCAGCATGCTCTCTGGGCTGGGCTGGGCTGGGCTGGGCTGTCTGTTGGGGGCAGTAGCTCCTGTCATAGCACTGG